GTTCATTCCAATGGATATGTCTCATTTCTTGTTGGATGAGAGCAACGAAGTAAACAAGAAATGCTGTTCTTTTCGAAACGCGAGTGCACAGTCCAGAGTTCACGGACTGTGCTGGGAGTGCGGTACGCACTGGCTGCGTAGTGCGGAGCTGCAGCATGCACATGAAGGTGCATGCTGGTCTGAAGACAGTGTTCTTTTTGTTCTTGCACTGCTGCTCTACAGTTGCGAATTTTCGCTGCGTGGCCGAGTGCTTTTCTCTTCGTTTCTTTAGTGTAATCTGTCTGATCATGCCTGGACGTGGACGATCCTCCACCCCAAGAGGCCGGAGCAGGTCCTCCAGGGGAGGTAGTTTGCCTGCCTCAGCAAGCAGACCTGAAGTAAGCAGCTCCGACAGTGGAGCCGAACCGAACGCCCAACTGCAGGAGCAGCAGTTGAGGATCGGCGCCCTAGAATCGGCGCTGGCCAAGGAACGGTCAAGCCGTCGTCGTCGTCGGTTCCCATCGTCGTCGGCATCATCCTCATCATCATCCTCATCTTCCCCCTGTTCGTCTCCGTCGTCATCCCCGTCTTCATCGTCATCTCCCGAGTCTCGCCGTCGTCGCAAAAAATCAAAAACGGCCAAACACTCGAGAAGTCGTTCCGTGTGTCCCCAGTCAACCTCGTCGAGGCGGTGGAAGAACCCCTCGTACGAGAGACAGTACGAGACAAACGCTGCTGTGCTGGAAGAGCTCGGCGAAGTGCGTGCTGCTCTAGGGAAGAGGAAGGTGGACAGGGCAAGGCGAGCCACCAAGCAAGGTGAGAACTTGTTGCGGGATAGGCAAGAGTGGCTGGTTATTGCAGATGCACACGGGCACGAGGCAGCCAAAAAGTTTGCAGAGGGTGGCGAGATGCTGGGGATTGTCGGGTGCCCGCAGAAAAGGAAAAGGCTAATGGCAGCCATCCAATCCCGCCCTGCGCCAAAAGCCAAGCAGCCCTTTCTCCCCCGCACTGCGTCCCAGTCGGCCAAGGGGTGGGGTGCCCACAATGCAAACTTGCATGCCACCATTGCGGCGAAACAGGCCACTACATTCGCGTGTGTCCCCGCCGGCAAGCAGCTAGCCAGCCGCGAAATGCCTGAACCCTGTGCAGCTGACGACTATGATATGTCATTTCAAAGCAATGAATTAGATGCTGAAACCTATTCTATGTTGCATAGCGTGGATGGGGAGTTCGGAGGGGACCGGGACAGGGTGGTCATTGGCAGTCTAAAGAAAAACGTGCAGTTCTGGGAAGAAATCGGAGCACCAAAGCTAGTACTTGAAGTAATCAATAATGGATACACGCTGCCGTTTGTTAGATTGCCAAGGCCCAGGTGGTCAGACAACTACAAAAGTACACATGAGTTTCCAGATTTTGTCGGGGAGGCCATTTCAGATATGCGTTCTCGCGGTTGTAATAAAGAGGTTAACAGAGACCAAGTGTCAGTGTGTAGCCCGTTGGGAGTGGTGGATAATGGGAAGAAGCTGAGACTTATTCTGGACCTAAGGTACCTCAACAAACACCTGGCTAAATTCAAGTTCAAACTGGAAGATTTGAAGGTGGTGGCAGATGTATATGAGAAGAACGATTTCTTGGTTACATTTGACTTGAAGAGTGGCTACCACCACATTGCTATAGCAGAAAGCCACTGGAGGTATCTTGGTTTCAGTTGGGTAACCCCCCAGGGAAAAGCAGCATACTATACGTTTTGCGTCTTGCCGTTTGGTTTGTCAACCGCCCCTTACATTTTTACAAAGGTAACCAGGGTGCTAGTGCGTCGTTGGAGGGCAATGGGTATACGTTGCCAACTGTACATGGACGATGGGTCGGGAGGACATGCTTCTAAGGCAGGTGGTCACAAGGTAGCAAATCAAATGAAGAAAGATCTCCAAAACGCAGGATTTGTGGCTAATGAAAAGAAATGTCGTTGGGAGCCCTCTCAGGTTGTAGAGATGTTGGGTATGGTGGTTGACCTACGCGTTGAAGCCATCCGAGCCTCCGAAAAGCGTGTTAAAAAGCTTAAGTCGATGCTCAGCACAATGTCAGGTAGCAGGCAACCATCAGCTAAGCTGGTAGCAAGGATGACTAGAATGATAATGTCCATGTCGCTGGCCCTGGGCCAGATTTGCAGGCTGAGGACTAGAGCATTCTACCACATGATCCTATTGAGGAAGTCATGGGCAGCTCAATCAGTTTGGTCAAAGGAGGCAATTGATGACCTGAAGTTCTGGAAAGAATCTTTTGACAAATTGCATGGCCAACCTTTCTGGAAGAAGGACCCACGTGTTGTAGTTATCTGTTGGTCAGATGCCAGCGACACTGGCTGGGGAGGTTTCATGGAGGGGAGGTTGGGTGTGCATGTTGCGAAGGGTGAATGGCCAGGTGAAATCAAAGAAAAGAGACTAAGTTCTACTTGGCGTGAGCTTAGGGCTGTTAAGCTTGTTCTGGAGTCATTGGCACCAAAGATTGCTGGGAAGGCTTGCATACATCGCACAGACAACCAGGCAGCGGCACACATTATTGAAAACGGTAGCCGCAAAGAGCATTTGCAAGAGGAAGCTATGGCAATACACAAATTGTGCAGGCGTTTTAGCGTGAGGATTAGGGCAGAATGGGTACCTCGGGAAGAGAACGAGCTGGCTGATTATTATTCGAAGGTTGTTGACCAAGACGATTGGCAATTGAACCCTGCATTATTCCGGGAAATGGAAGGGAGATGGGGCCCCTACAGCCTATATTGTTTTGCCAGTTTTAAGACTATGCAGCTGAAAGGGTGTGGATGGTTCCCCCAATCTACCTTATTTCACGTACAATCGATATGCTGCTAGCATGCAGAACCCATGGAACTCTTGTTGTACCAGAGTGGCGGTCAGCCCCATGGTGGCCAAAATTGCATGACGGAGCTGCGTGGTACGGATTTGTGAAAGAGTGCGTGTGGTTGCCAAAGGATGAGAATACATTCTTGCAGGGGTCATGCCCATGGAATTTGTTTGGTTACGGCATGCCGAAGTCCGAGATCATTGCTTTGAAATTGTGCGCAGTTAGTGGCTGTGATTGCTGACAGCATACCTGGCGCGTGTTTGTATGCGGGAGAGCCTGAGTATGTCTGACGGTGCTTGAAATAAGAGCTTGCGGAAGTTTGCCTCCATGCTACAGGTGCGGTAGGGCAAGTGCTATAGGCACACATACAGCTATAAGCTGCCCGGTTAACACGTACAGATGTATCAACTCAAAGTTGCACCCAGAGCACTAGCTTCGCAAAGAGGTGAGTCCATGAGTTAAGTGTGCTAGCCAGAATTTAGAGAACACCATAGGTACGCACGTAATGTTGCACGGGCGAGCGGCCTCCAGGCGCTTTGTAATCGTTGTTATGAGAGAGGTGTAGAAGAGAGATTGGAGCACTTGTCGAGGATGTCACTACAGCTATGATGACAGTCAATGTGGAAGTATCGTTGTATTCGTTTTCATGTTCGTCACCGTGGTCTGGGTGGCCACACATTGAATGTAATATTCTGTCGATGGTTACATGCGACATTAAGCGTCCGTTTGCATTGTTTCTGTGTGGTGTGTATGTTGCGAGTGGTGCATACGGTCATGTACGGAGTTGTGCTACAGGCATACATGGACACTACAGGTGTTAACCCGAGCAGCAGGCATGATAAGGGTGAAAGCTACAGGCTTACAATTATGACTCAAGGTGCTGCGGCAGAGCCAGCCGAGCGCGGACGCTACAAGCAATCGAGCCAAGGGGGAGGAGGCAGTCAGTGGCGCAGAAGTGATCATGCTGTTCTCCGACTGTATGCTACAGGCAAGTCAAGTCAACAGCCAGAACGCATGTCTCGCTGCTTGGCAGTCTATATGCCGCCAGCTATGCTTTGTGCTTCTTGGAGCAGCTGTTGCTGCGACCCTGCAGTTCAATTGTTGTTGTTGTTGTTGTGGTGTGTACGAGAGAGTCGAAAAGAAATGCCTCATTTCTTGTTGGATGAGAGCAACGAAGTAAACAAGAAATGCTGTTCTTTTCGAAACGCGAGTGCACAGTCCAGAGTTCACGGACTGTGCTGGGAGTGCGGTACGCACTGGCTGCGTAGTGCGGAGTTGCAGCATGCACATGAAGGTGCATGCTGGTCTGAAGACAGTGTTCTTTTTGTTCTTGCACTGCTGCTGTACAGTTGCGAATCCCACCCGCCCACCCAATTGGAAAGTCATTGCTAGATATGTATGTGCATATGGATTTATTGGCTGAGTGAGCAGTAGTGCGTGTATGTGGCGAGCATGTTTCCGTGTGTGGGCCAATTTCAGATAATTCTGTATTAAGGTAGCACATTGGCTTTATTTAGACTGGCCCATCTGGGGTTATTCAGCATCTCCACCATTGTCGCTGGCGGCAATTCCCATTAATCAGTGCACTAGGCCGTGGTGAACGCATTTCGATCGGAAGTTCATGTATCCATTGTCCCATGGCTTGGATCGCTTACTGTCTTGCGTTGTTTTCCTTTTGTTATGCTAAAGTGATGTGTACCAGGCTGCCATGATTATGTTTAAATGCTGTGTGCCTGTGGCATAGTAATATTAATACACATGCGGTGCAAGAATTGGAGCAGCTGTTGCTGCGACCCTGCAGTTCGATTGTTGTTGTTGTTGTGGTGTGTACGAGAGAGTCGAAAAGAAGCTACTGCAGCCTTTTGAAAGCATATCTAGTATATGTTTTATGAGGATTGATTTGAATCCAAACACGTTAGGTTCTAAGTTAGGAAGAAAAAAGAAGAAGAAGAAAAGACGTATCTCCTAGCGTTTCTCCCGGTGATGTACAGCATAGCTGGTGCTGGGTGCAAGGCTTTCAGCCGTGCCTACACTCTCGCAACGGAATACTTACAAAAAAAATAATGAATAAAATATTCGACGGGTTCGCGTACCGGGCATGTCAAGAACAAGTAGTCGTACAACCCCCTGGTCAAGAACCACATTTCAGCTTCCGTACTTACTTCGTACAAAGTACTTGACGAACGTACTCCTTCTGAGAGACTGATACACTCTTGATAAATCCGCAGGATATTTCATTTGGCAAAATCGATGATCCAGGACTTCTATGTCACCTAGCTCTCTGCGCAAATAGAAAAGAGAAAATGTAGACGAGCAAGACGGAAATGACAATTGTCAACGTGCTCTGTGGCATTCACATAACAGCAGTTGGGGTAAAGCTCGATTGTGTGCATGCACAAACACCCACAGACACCATTGGCCATTCCATTTGACGCCCATAGCCGGAGGCGATGGTAGCGATGCTACAGCAGAAGCCATAGCAGCTTGTGCTGGGATTGCACTATTCGACAGCTTGCAAGACTGAAGATTTGCCGCCACTATTCAGCCTGGTCTACACCACACAGCTACGAAGTGACTTTTATTGGCCAGTAAATCCCTATTTAAACACACGGCGAGGAGACAACAATTTTATAACCGCAATCAATAAAACTAGCTGAACCGACATTTGTGTACTTTATTCATGCAATGTAAAAAACGGTGGAGACGATGTGCAATAAAATGTGTCAGGCGGGATGGACGAGACAGAGAGAGTACAGAGGAAGCGGAGGATGGAACTGACGGCGGAGGGAGCAGTGAGTCGGAGAGCAGTGATGGGAGTGATGGTGAGAGTGCCGGTGAGAGTGTTAGTGTTGTGCGTAGGTTTCGTGGTAGCAAGTCTTCAGTGTACAATCATCTGCTGGCTAGTCCTGATTGTTGCGGTGCGTATTCCGACTCTTCGTTCACTGTATTGTGCCGTGGTCGTCATGGTTATGGACTACAGTTAAAAGTGTTGGAAGCTATCTATCAACGTCTGTACAAGCCTAATTTGTGTGTACAGAAAGATAGTATAATTGGGTTGAAATTGTTAAAGTAGCGTCGTGTTTAGTGCGGCCAAGCTTGGCCGTTAATGTTTTAGGTGTAATGTACTGCTGTTATGTGTTATCACGTTGTCTTTCCTTCCTTTCTCCTTTGTTCAGTTCTCGCTTTGATTGTTAAAATTCACACTTGTAAATTTCACTGTTGTTGCTCTTAGTGTTATTTCTCGAACTTGGATTTTCTATAATAGTTCAATTTTTGTTTCAGTGTCCTTTAGTACAACGACGATTCCTGATGAGTGTTGTACGAAAACTTGTTTGAATCCATATTTTTTCCTACACCATTTCTTCATAATATTATTTTCATCGTTTTATTGCACATCGTCTCCACCGTTTTTTACATTGCATGAATAAAGTACACAAATGTCGGTTCAGCTAGTTTTATTGATTGCGGTTATAAAATCCCTATTTTTTGGTCATTTCCCTTTTTTCCCGCACACACGCACACGCATCACATCACATACTGCGGCATGCACTGGCTATTGGTAGCCACCCAGGGGAATGAAAGAAAAGTCAGGATGAATCTGAGAAAGAGAAGAAAGACAAACACACCCACACATACACACACACCTTGACCTTGACCTTGACCTTGACACATGTTGCCTTGATAGGCTACACGGTCCCCGTCAGTGGAGAGGGGTGGAAGATGCTGAGGAGCAGCACTTCTGATGGCGCACTAGATGGTGACGTAGTCGGAACTTCCTTAGGCAAGGGCACTCAAACGGGAAGTCGGCCCTTTCCGACACTGTCCTTTGTTTCGTGCGGTCGCACTTGTGCCTGGCCAAGCCGCTGCTGGACTTGAAACTCCGATGACAGGTGCTGCACTGCGAAGTGACCGGGTTGCCGGGGTGCTCGATGTTGGGAGCAGGTCCGTGATCGCACCGATGGGTAGCCAATCCACCGGGGCTGCGGAACCAACGTTGGCAGAGACGACACTGGCAAGCGCCAGCCTGATTACACACTGGTTTCTGCCGTTCTGCCAAGCATTTGTGACGCTTCTCATCTGATGGGCGGGAGAAATTCCGATCACATACTTGGCAATGGACATTGAGCGTGGGCGGTTCGGGCTCGAAACAGCGGTACATGCGGCGCCAGTCGGGGCGAGAATCTGCGAGATCGAACCATCCCTCCACAGCATTCAGGGCCTTCAGGTCTGCACTAATGCAGTCCTTCCAGCGTTTGCGTGGACCGCCAGGTGGACGGCGGGATGGTAGCAGACCGAACAACAGAATCTTCGGGATGCGCTCTGGTGGCATGCGAGCAACATGACCCAGCCACTCAAGTCGTCGCCGGTGAACACACGCACACACACACACACACACACACTCACTCACACACACACACACACACACACACATGTACACACACACGTACACACACACACACACACACACACACACACACACACACACACACACACACAAACACACACACACACACACACAATACAATACAATACACTACAACAAAGGTCAAAAAGAATGGTTTCACCAATTATAGAAACATACGTTGTAACACTGCGTTTCATGCACGTAGCTAAATGCTAAGCCAATCATCAGTTGTCTAATGATTGCCTTAGCATTTAGCTACGTGCATGAAACGCAGCGTTACAACGTATGTTTCTATAATTGGTGAAACCATTCTTTTTGACCTTTGTGGTTACGCTCCGCCCCTGTGGTGTTGAGCACTGTTGAAACCTGGGTATACCCACTTATGTCAATACACTACAATATAAGTTAATACAATATGCCCATCCGGAGATGGTAGCAGGTCCCGAAGGGGCCAACAGTGTTCAAGTGACGAGCAGAATCGGGCGTGGTGAGCCAAATCCTGGCGACGCCAATAGCTGTTTCCACAAGTGCAAATCAAGCCAAAGGTGACGGACACGGTCGGAGGAATAGTGCAGTGTGTTGTTCTCCACTGTCTGCCATCCCGGGTGTGAGGTCGTACCAGTCTGCTGTCTGTTTATTGGAATTCGCAAACAGAACGGACTGAACATGTCCAATCACAAGGAAATCAAAGAGGTCCAAGTAACCCAGGAATGGGAAAACTCGATCCCGGGTGAGGTCGTAGCAGTCTGGTGTCTGGCAGTCCTTCATGTCGGACACAACTTTCTCCCTCCACCGCTTCCAGGGCCCATGACGTGGCTGGGTATTTTCCAGTTCGCTGAAGCGGATACACTTTGGCATACGGGAGTCATCCATTCGAGCAACATGGCCTAATCAGCGGAGTCGACGTGTTTTCAGTGTCTCCTCGATTGGCTGTACCTTGGCTGGTTCAAGGAGAGTGGTGTTGGAGATGTGCTCCTGCCATTGTGTTTCTCTGGGAAATTCCAGCAGGAAGCGAATGCAGCAGTGATGAACGGCTGCAAGCTGACGAACATCCACGGCCTTCATTTCTGCAGGTCTCACAACCATACGACAGTATCAACAAGACAACAGCCGAATACACGTGCACTTTCGTCTTGATGGAGGGATCACGATCAGACAAGACAGATGAGCGAAATGTGCCGAATGCTCGGGAAGCTTTCGCCAAGCGAGCCGAGATCTCCACAGTCATCTGACCATCTGAAGACATACAACAACTTTGATACGTGAAGTCAGGCACCAGCTCAATACTACCCTCAGGCAACTCTAAAAGGCCGGATGGTGGCGACGGGGCAATCACTACCAGAACTCTGGTCTTAGTGAAGGTTACAGTGAGGCCAAACCTGCTTGGCAGAGAAGGAACTGCCAGCAGCTTCCATGTCTTCGACTGACAGAGTATATATGGCGGCATCATCAGCGAATTGCGATTCCGTGACAGGACAGCGTGACAGGCGAGACTTAGCTGTGCGGTCACTGACAAGCTTCTGACCAAGACGATATGCCACTGGTATCCCAGCCGAGACACAACCAGAACGCCACTCGTGCACGACAGCAGAAAAGTAAAGGTTAAGCAACACCGGTGCAAGCGTACATCCTTGACGGAGTCTGTTGTGTACGGAGAAGCGATCTGTTGTTTGCCTGATGATTGAAGAAGCATGACATTGTCTAAAAGTAGCAGCAAACAAGCCCTTTTTTGAATATGGAGGGAAAGAAGCAAAGGGGTAAAGGAGCTAAATGCCAGGAACACAGAAGAAAATCACAAAAAAGCAAAATAGCTCAGGCTCCAGAAGTGCTCAGGAACTGACAATAACCCGCTGTCCTGTCATCTCAGGTTGTTTATTACAAGGCATTTGTTGCCAGGCCTGCACTGTCATGAATTGTATGGTGCCTCCTCGTTTAGTGCTGTATGTCTTGCTCATATGGTGGCTCAATTGAAAATGTCAAAAGCTGTAGACATCCATGCCATCCTGACTTATAATAATAGTTTAACTTTTACAAGCATTGTTATTGTGTGGCAATGCCGGTAGTGCCGGTAGTGCCGGTAGTGCTTGTTCTCCTTCTTGCTATTTCACATGTCTTCTAATATTTATTCTGGGACATGTTTAAAGTACACATCTGTTCACATGGAGACAAGGCAATTGGTTGTTTGTGAAGGGGCTGAGACAAGGCAATTGGTTGGTTGTGAAGGGGCTGAGACAAGGCAATTGGTTGGTTGTGAAGGGGCTGAGACAAGGCAATTGGTTGGTTGTGAAGGGGCTGAGACAAGGCAATTGGTTGTTTGTGAAGGGGCTGAGACAAGGCAATTGGTTGGTTGTTAAGAGGCTGAGACAAGGCAATTGGTTGGTTGTGAAGGGGCTGAGACAAGGCAATTGGCTGGTTGTTAAGAGGCTGAGACAAGGACACGGACACATTGCCTACTGGTGATGAATTACGACTTACATTAAAGTCCTGGTGCTTCCTAGCGGAAACATCCCGATAGGTAAGTGTTTGAAGGCATTACCATCTAACCACCTGTTAAGCAATCAGAACAAACAGTGCAAAGCACCGTCTATGGATTCAGTACCTACAGAATCTCAAGTTACCATTATGTTAAAAGAATGAAATGCATCTTGTACATGCAATATAAGATGAATGCAGATGTTCCGTTCGACAATTAATGTTGAAAGTGATGACGTCAAAAACGGTCAGGGAGTAGTAAGTTCACATCAGATTTCTATTTTG